AACGAACCAAAACATGATTCAGACAATGACCTACTTTTCAGCCGACCCCAATTTTCTCGGGTGAAAGTGAAAAGAGACACTACAAACAACTATGGTTACACTAAAAGTACAATTCATTGATTCATAAGAAAACGGTATTTACAAATAAATTTTAATTTTAAAGTTTAAAAAAATCGTATTTCTATATTAATGTCGAGGTTTAGGCAGCATGTCGTTAACTTAGACGTCACACAATGCCCCTGTTTGAAGAGGTCGTAGAATGATCCACAATTCATCTGGTTCACTGGTTACACCTGTTATGTGTCCATTGCACTTATCAAGTGTATTTTTGTAACGTACAAATCCGTACCCATTCGTGACCAACTCGTGTTATTCCGGGACAAGCCGAATAGTCTTCTTGGAGGTTACGGAAAGGGGTGAGTGGTGACGAATGGTCCGTACCAGACCGCCAAACCTTTCTAGCGACCGAGCCTCGTTTTGAGATTTCCACGATTTCCAGATTTCCGCTGCACGGCGTGTTTGCAAGGATTGGAAGGAGCGAAGTGTTGCAATACACAAGTGATTAGATGTATCAAATAATACTGATTAACATTTTATATATCCAGTTAAATGAGATGGTCTCAAACTTCTGGGACTAACGGGATCGGGTGGTCAGGCTCGCTGACTGGGTTGACACATGTCATCGTATCCCAATTGCGTAGATCGATGTTCATGCTGTTGATCCCTGGATTGTCTGGTCCAGATCCGATTAATTACAGACCACCGCCATATAGCTGGCATATTGTTGAGTGCGGCGTAAAACTAAACTCACTTACTCAAATTTCTGGACTGGTTATTATACTAAGTTGCGCAGTAGGACGGAACCCAGTCAGCAGGAAACGAGACTGTTGTGTAATCAATGTTTTGGCTTGTAGTCGCCCAGTACAAAGATACGGTCCCCAACACAACTATTATGCCCGTATCAAATACATGGCGGCACACATTAAGTTGCCCGGTAGGGCTGGATAAAATGTTGCATACTTTTGGTCTGTTCCTTGAAGAAAAACGTTTTCACACTTTTTCTTTTCTTCTTCATGCAAAGACCTCTCAGTACTGGTCACTGCAGTGACCGTTCCCAAATATCCTGCTCTGTTAACTACACATTTGAACGAACCATGATGTTGATCACTGGATGGTCTGGTCCAGACTCGATTATTTCAAACCGCCGCCATATAGCTGGAATATTGCTGAGTGCAGCGTTAAACAACAAACAAACAAACATACCCCTGTGAAGTTGGCAAACACCATTCAAAGATAATCAGCCACCACAGATGGATCTCGTGTCGATGCGAACGTAAAATAATTTAAACTAGCCTCTTTATGTAAACTGTATTATTTGAAATAACCAGCTGTTTGAGACAGTGAACTAGCCGAATGGTTAAAGCGTTCACTTGGCTGGAAGAAGACCAGGGTTCGATTCCATACAAGGTATAATGTGTGAAGTCTGTTTCTGCTATCTCCCGCTGGGATTTTCCTGAAATATTGTTATGCTTGGATAGCAGAGTGTAAAAACACGAACATTGAGGCGAACCCAATGGACAACATATACCGCACTTGTTGAAAATGTAATTCAAACTAGACACTACCGTCAATACCTATTATGTTCATCTAAAAATGCTCAGGTAAATTATTGTCGGTTGGAATAAATATACCACCTGGATCCCAACTTTTTCATGCTATTCAAATTCTGGTGTCCCCCGCCGTGATATTGCTTGAATATTGCTATTTTAAAAGCTGTGTACAACTAAACTCACTCACTCACTCACTCGTGTTCTGCAAACCAATATTCTACATCGAGACAAATTGATCCTCTAAGGTGGGTTTCCCCTATAATGCCCTGATCAAGATATACCCGTGAAGATCCGGGTTAGAATTGATCTTCAGTAACCCGTGCTTGTCGTAATAGGTGACTAACGGGATCGGGTGGTCAGGCTCGCTGGCTTGGTTGTCACGTCATCGGTTCCCAATTGCGTAGATAGATGCCCATGCTGTTGATCACTGTATTGTCTGTTTATTGACTCGATTATTTACAGACCACCACCGCATAGCTGGAATATAGCGGGGTAAAACTAAACTCACTCATTCACTGATCAAGATCACGACCGCCCATTACACGCAGAGCGTGGGTCTAACAAAGAGTGTCATTTGACCAGCTAGGCACGTCTCAGGACCTGCATGTGACCTACAGATAAGGGCTACGAACACCGTTGTAATCCACGGGGTCAGGGGTCCATTTAGAGGGTAGACGGGATTCAGTATTGGGCAAAACAAAGAAGATCGTATTCAAAACAAAAACAAAAATAGCATTTAAAAAACAATATGGTCAAAAGTAAAATGATATCATACACCCTGTTCTTTATATACTCATGCCAATAATGGTTGTCACCCCCCCCCACCCCAACCCCACACACACCCCACACCCCTCTCCAATAAAAAATTGAAGGGGGTGACAACCATTATTGGCATGAGTATATATGTTTGTCATAAATCTAACTTAAAATCACTCCCTTTTAAGACCTCGGTTGGGTTCTGTATGGGATACTTTATAGCGTTTGTAGAATAAGTGAATACCGTTTTAGGCCGCTTTTAGCAATTTAACGGTCAGCGAAGGCCTTCACATATTGCACCTATGTGGGGAATCGAACACGGGTCTTGATCGTGACGAGCGAGCGCTTTAACCACCAGGCGACTCCACCTTGTAAAATGAAATTTGATATGTATACTTCGGGATTCAGGTTTGATGGAATGATATTCAGAGTGAAAAATGGTATTTGGTATTTTGGGGGAGCAGGGGCTACCACCCTCATAATGACGGAGACAGTATCTCGGATGTCTTGTTACCGATCGCCGCCACAAATATGTCCCCGGCTACTGGTGCACCTCTCTTCGTCATCGTCACGTGCACGAGCTGAATAGGATGTATAAGACGAATGGGATGGGCTTGTAGTTTATGAAATATCGCATCGTAATCGACCTCTCTATGCACTCTATGAGAAGAAAATGTTAAGTACATGTACTGGGAATTGTGAAGATCTGGATTAGAATTGATCTTCAGTAACCCATGCTTGTTGGAAGAGGCGACTAACGGGATCGGGTGGTCAGGCTCGCTTGCTTGGTTGACACATGTCATCGTATTCCAATTGCGTAGATCGATGCTCGGTATGTCAATCATTGGATTGTCTGGTCCAGACTCGGTTATTTACAGATCGCTGTCTCATAGCTTGAACAACTGCCGGGTACGGCGTGAAACAACAAACATATATACAGACACATTGTACACGACTTTTGAGATCCTGAAAATATTGCCCCAATACTGTCCATTAACACTTCATGGAAGATTCCACGATCCTTTCATTGGAGTGAGTAAGTATGGTTTTACGCTGCTCATCACACTGAAGACCCGGGTTCGATTCCACACGTGGGTACAATGTGTGAAGCCAATTTCTGGTGTCCCCTGCCGTGATGTTGTTGAACAAAGCGGCGAAAAAACATATTCACTCGCTCATTGGCTTTACATTCCGTTCCGCAGATCTTGTAATCTCAGCATTCAATCACATTACCCATAGGAGCCTTAAAACTCCTACCCTAAACAGAGACCCCATAAATCTTATTTTATAGTCTCTGCCCTAAGTTGACTCATCCACCAAACCATTGACAACTTACCTTTGATCAGTACTGTACCCACTCGGGCAAACTGTGTCAGCGCACTCGCCCTCAATGGGTTGTCGGAGCGCAACGCTGGTGATATACGACACCAGATTAAGGAGTACGACACCAGATTAAGGAGTGAGATTGTAGACAAAGCACATTTGAGAAAGCAACCCAGCGTTCTGGGAAAGCACAACAGGGCGTGAACGCTGCACAGTTTGTAGTTGTATGAATACACAAGAAAAGGTATTAATCTACACTTTGTGGGAAGGTGAAAAGTACGAACCTTTATCCTGCCAAATAGATACCAAGCAGTTGAATACAGTACGGGATGTTAGAGATGCTGTGAGGGGTCGAGAAACCTACTCTATCTCTGAAATAGTTTTCCAGAATGAAACCTTTTAGAATCTTAACATTTGAATCTAGACTTGCCTAGCTATTTTTAACGTTCAAGTTTTACTGATACAGGCTGACACCCCAATGCAACTACACCGCCTACCTAAAAGACGCAAACGCGCACGCGCACGCACGCGCACACATATACACACACCAGCCGTCTTCTTTTCTAGATCCGGGGCGGTGCGTATCTTAGTGGTTAAAGCGTTCGCTCGTCACGCCGAAGACCCGGGTTCGATTCTCCACATGGGTACAAAGTGTGAAGCCCATTACTGGTGTCATATTGCTGGAATATTGCTAAAAGCGGCGTAAAACCATACTCACTCACTCACTTTTCTAGATCCACCCACAATTGATTAATATTAACAGTTTAAATCAAACGATCACCTATCCAATATATCATATCATTTGTGGTATACGGTTAAATGCTCATGGGAATATTGATAATAACCCTGCCCCTTTTGTTGTATAGATATTCAACTCCACTGAACTTCCTGCGTCAATTAACGAACCATCGAGGCGTATCATACCCGATCTCTCTCCAATGTGCATTCATATCGTATCTAGGTCAGTTGACAATGCGACACTATTTACCGTGGCTATCAAAACTCACAGACTTTTTACGGAAAGGTATTGTTTTTAATCAGGTATATTGTACAGGACTCGACGTGTCCGTTTGTAACTGATAGCGTTTGGCCTGGTTTAATGGGACCAGTAATTTTCACTAAACACAAACTCATTCAACAAGCACAAGAAGCATGCTTGATTAAAGGGGTGCAAATATGTCATTAATTCTGACAAGAAAGAGAAATCGATTATTTATAAAATATGTGCAACGACAAAAATATTCCCAAGATTTATGATTTGCTGAAAATACTGATTGCTCCCTCGAGAAGCCAGCTGTACCATTTTATGTATGTAAGATATCAGATAATCACGTGTCACGTCTACTAAAACATTTCGTTATCGACTATTTTAAAAAGGGAGATACCGAGGCGTACTAGTATATAGCTGGATTTAAGGACCTCCGGAAAGGCGGTACCTGTGCTTTAGTCAGGAATAAGTCATATCGATTTTCCTGTACGTACCCGGTCATTCATCACGGCCCAGCAACGGGCCACAATACCTGCGATTGTACCCGGAAGAGAACCTATTTACGTGTACCAGTAATTATACTCAGGCATGTCAAGGGGTTACGATCAATATGATCGAAGCAGATACCGTGGTGACTACCCGGATAGAGGTCACAGCCGCTATAACCGCGACCAGGGATACGAAATGAGCAGACGACCGGTAAGAGCAGACATTTTGTTATTGTTTGAATGGTTTAAATCGAGCGTTGTGTTGGTATGGTACATTTAGAATTATGATTGAGCGTGTATTACGTATGTTTTCATAGTACATAGTACATTGGGTTCTCTAGGTAAAGCGACGTCCATTTGACAATGAATGAACACACACCTGTCCTGATTGACGCAATGGAAAACGCTGGTGGACACACAAAGGGATGGCAGGGTCTCTCTCTGTCTCTGTCTCTGTCTCTGTCTCTCTCTCTGTCTGTCTGTCTGTCTCTCTCTCTCTCTCTCTCTCTCGCTCTCTCTCTCTCTGTCTGTCTGTCTGTCTGTCTCTCTCTCTCTCTCTCTCTCTCTCTCTCTCTCTCTCTCTCTCTCTCTCTCTCTCTCTCTCTCATTTAATCATATTTATTATAAATAGTGTGTTTATATTTACTTATTTACTTACTTAAATACCGTGTCATGTCTACGAAGGTCCGACATCTTCACACCCGGATGTAAATTATCATATAGGACCACCTTGTTATAAAAGATCACTATTGAATTGGTGCTTGTCAGCATGGAATAATTTTTGTGTCATGTCGTCGGAAAAGATAAAAGTAACATATTCCATATTGAGATAACAAATAGGGTTATTTGAGATTTATTTCATTTCTAAACTTTATTATAATTTTCGATTAAAAAACCTGTGCTTACTTGTCACTTCCTCGTTGTCATAACTGTATGATAAAAGGATGTGATATTTCTGATCTAAATGTACCGCTTACCTGCTTTGAAAGAAAGATTGACAACATACTATACTGTACAATATACTATGTCTCATAGTGGAGATGATTGTCAGCTGTATGTTTACACGTAAATACTGTGTGTTATTGAACGTTGTGTATAAGCACATGCCGATGTGTTAATGGACAAAATATTATAGCACGTCTCCTTGTGAAAGTGTTTGTCAGCTATAGTGTTTATAGAACGTTACGAATAAACGAAAAAAATCCATCCATGTTTTGCACGTTCAGGACACATTACAAGGTGAAAATTATTGTATTGTAGAATTTACAGGAACTATAGAGTGTGCGCTGACCACCGAGAAACAACATATTCCAGAGTATAAGTGATAATATTCTAAACATATCGTAAATTTTGCGCGTAAACTCTGTGTTTATTGAACGCTGTGTAAAAACCTCACATAAAACCCCCCATAAAGTTCTGAATATTTTGTAGTTTTTGCACAGAGACATGACATATTTATTGACCTCATATAAACACATCCTAGTTTGTTGGTGATTTTATACATCCACTTAATTCTCACGCAGACGCCATGTTGTTATCCCTCACAGACACCACGTTCCGCACCTCGTCACAGACGTAACGTCACTATTGGGAATATTACACAAGTTTATGTTAACTTTGAACATGTCCACATAAAAATCAATGATAATCATTAATCAATATCAGCGTGGTCAGTCAAGCCATGGACCATATCAACATGCCTGTTCACGCACTACGGATGTCACCTATCTATATATAGGTGCAGCAGTTTTTTGAACAATATGACGGTACAAATTAATATTTCCTTCCGATGTTTTCCGAGCGCTTGGTCGTATTATATTGAGAGAGTTTTCGTCTGTAAGCAGGATGTATATTTTCAACTATTTTGTATTTTGTGCTAAGTCCACACTGGGCACATATAAATCTTTCCTTATGGGCCCATCTACTTTTTTGTCATTGTTTGGTCTGTATGCATGTTGCATATTACTTAAACACTGCTTAAAGGTGTCGCTCCAGGTAGATTGCGATTTGTGTCATGTTTCCCAGTGTCATTACATATGTTCTTAAGGTCACGTTCGAAGCACACTCTGTATTGATTACCTGTATTGATTACCTGCGCAATATGTTTTCAACATAATCGTGATTTGTTTAAAATTTACTAAACATGTATCAGTGAGAAACTGGGTCATCCACTGAGAGTACGTTTATGATGTACCTGTTGTTTAATTATATACCTGTCGTGATGACGTAACATGTTGTGTATCAGTGATACGTATCGTGACGTTGTGGTGTAATTGTACATAGAGCTACTGAACAACATTAGAAACGCATCACACTAAAAGGCACTGACGATGCTGAGATACCACGGGTACATTTCATTCTGACCGGGATATTTCGTATTATATGGGTGGTGCGTTTCTAATGTTGTTTAGTATATTACTCCGAAATATATGTACTACATGAGCCTAGTAACATTGTTTGACATTGTAGTGTACTTGTACTTACAGTCATGACACAAACATATACGTTACAATAGGAACCAGGGATATTGTTGACATTGTAGTGTACTTGTACTTAGAGTCATCACACAAACATATACGTTACTATAGGAACCAGGGATATTGTTGACATTGTAGTGTACTTGTACTTAGAGTCATCGCACAAACATATACGTTACTATAGGAACCCGGGATATTGTTGACATTGTAGTGTACTTGTACTTAGAGTCATCACACAAACATATACGTTACTATAGGAACCAGGGATATTGTTGACATTGTAGTGTACTTGTACTTAGAGTCATGACACAAACATATACGTTACTATAGGAACCAGGGATATTGTTGACATTGTAGTGTACTTGTACTTAGAGTCATCACACAAACATATACGTTACTATAGGAACCAGGGATATTGTTGACACTGTAGTGTACTTGTACTTAGAGTCATGACACAAACATATACGTTACTATAGGAACCAGGGATATTGTTGACATTGTAGTGTACTTGTACTTACAGTCATCACACAAACATATACGTTACTATAGGAACCCTTGATATTGTTGACATTGTAGTGTACTTGTTCTTAGAGTCATCGCACAAACATATACGTTACTATAGGAACCAGGGATATTGTTGACATTGTAGTGTACTTGTACTTAGAGTCATCACACAAACATATACGTTACTATAGGAACCCGGGATATTGTTGACATTGTAGTGTACTTGTACTTAGAGTCATGACACAAACATATACGTTACTATAGGAACCAGGGATATTGTTGACACTGTAGTGTACTTGTACTTAGAGTCATCACACAAACATATACGTTACTATAGGAACCAGGGATATTGTTGACATTGTAGTGTACTTGTTCTTAGAGTCATGACACAAACATATACGTTACTATAGGAACCAGGGATATTGTTGACATTGTAGTGTACTTGTTCTTAGAGTCATCGCACAAACATATACGTTACTATAGGAACCAGGGATATTGTTGACATTGTAGTGTACTTGTACTTAGAGTCATCGCACAAACATATACGTTACTATAGGAACCCTTGATATTGTTGACATTGTAGTGTACTTGTACTTACAGTCATCACACAAACATATACGTTACTATAGGAACCAGGGATATTGTTGACATTGTAGTGTACTTGTACTTAGAGTCATCGCACAAACATATACGTTACTATAGGAACCAGGGATATTGTTTGACATTGTAGTGTACTTGTACTTACAGTCATGACACAAACATATACGTTACTATAGGAACCCGGGATATTGTTGACACTGTAGTGTACTTGTACTTAGAGTCATCACACAAACATATACGTTACTATAGGAACCAGGGATATTGTTGACACTGTAGTGTACTTGTACTTAGAGTCATGACACAAACATATACGTTACTATAGGAACCAGGGATATTGTTGACACTGTAGTGTACTTGTACTTAGAGTCATGACACAAACATATACGTTACTATAGGAACCAGGGATATTGTTGACATTGTAGTGTACTTGTACTTAGAGTCATCACACAAACATATACGTTACTATAGGAACCAGGGATATTGTTGACACTGTAGTGTACTTGTTCTTAGAGTCATCGCACAAACATATACGTTACTATAGGAACCAGGGATATTGTTGACATTGTAGTGTACTTGTACTTAGAGTCATCAGACAAACATATACGTTACTATAGGAACCAGGGATATTGTTGACATTGTAGTGTACTTGTTCTTAGAGTCATGACACAAACATATACGTTACTATAGGAACCAGGGATATTGTTGACATTGTAGTGTACTTGTACTTAGAGTCATCACACAAACATATACGTTACTATAGGAACCAGGGATATTGTTGACATTGTAGTGTACTTGTTCTTAGAGTCATGACACAAACATATACGTTACTATAGGAACCAGGGATATTGTTGACATTGTAGTGTACTTGTACTTAGAGTCATCACACAAACATATACGTTACTATAGGAACCAGGGATATTGTTGACATTGTAGTGTACTTGTACTTAGAGTCATCACACAAACATATACGTTACTATAGGAACCCTTGATATTGTTGACATTGTAGTGTACTTGTACTTAGAGTCATGACACAAACATATACGTTACTATAGGAACCAGGGATATTGTTGACATTGTAGTGTACTTGTACTTAGAGTCATCACACAAACATATACGTTACTATAGGAACCAGGGATATTGTTGACATTGTAGTGTACTTGCACTTAGAGTCATCACACAAACATATACGTTACTATAGGAACCAGGGATATTGTTGACACTGTAGTGTACGTGTACTTAGAGTCATGACACAAACATATACGTTACTATAGGAACCAGGGATATTGTTGACATTGTAGTGTACTTGTACTTAGAGTCATCGCACAAACATATACGTTACTATAGGAACCCTTGATATTGTTGACATTGTAGTGTACTTGTACTTACAGTCATGACACAAACATATACGTTACTATAGGAACCAGGGATATTGTTGACATTGTAGTGTACTTGTACTTAGAGTCATGACACAAACATATACGTTACTATAGGAACCAGGGATATTGTTGACATTGTAGTGTACTTGTACTTAGAGTCATGACACAAACATATACGTTACTATAGGAACCAGGGATATTGTTGACATTGTAGTGTACTTGTACTTAGAGTCATCACACAAACATATACGTTA